GTTTTCCCTCTGGTTTCACCTGGGAACAGTCACTAGCACTGATGCTTTGAAAAAGCTCATTTAAAACTTCTTTGGCTGCACATTGCAGAGCAGCTGAATTGAGGTGAGAATTGTGCTTTAACGATTGGACACTCATATTTACCTCTCTATCCCTGTATTCTCTAGGACAAGACTATCAGCACGAGCTTGGCAGTTGTGGATTTAATTGATGCCATCCAGCCTGGTTGTATCAACTATGACCTAGTAAAGACTGGACACCTATCAGAAGATGACAAGCAAAATAACGCTAAGTAAGTTTGCTCTCTCAAAAGCTGTTGTGCACATTCAGTGTGCTGGCCTCAAGCTGCAGGTGTTTTGGCCACAGTTAATTGCTGTGGTTTTCAGTCTCTTCTAGCACAGTACTTTTTAAAAACACAGGCAGCACTTACTGAAATGGAGTTGCTGTCCTTGCTTGTGACGCTGGAGGGAGCAGTTGGCTGCACTCTGGCTTGCTGAGAGAAATGCAGAGCAGCTCTGGCAGTCCTTACCAGTAATACTCTATTTCTCACCTGTTTCTTAAGGCATTTGAAGTATTCAGCTGGTGGTTCAGAGTTTTGAAATGGAACCCTTGTATGTCTTACATCTTGTTGAATCATCACAGATTGTCAAGTTTAAAGTATGCCTATTAAAACATGCCTTTGAAATGTGTGTTCTATGACTGTTCTGCAGTGGCAGAATGACAGCAAAATTTCTGGCAGATAATAGTCTCACTTGGTTATTCATAAGGAGCAATGAGAAGATGAAATGTTGCATGATTAATCCTTCATTATATATGCTATTAGCCCTAACAAATATTAATTAAGATTCTTTTTTAACTGTTGGTAAAGTGGACTTGACATTCAAAGGTCAGTTTGCACATTAAGAACACTTTACTGTGGAAAAGGAAAACAGCAAAAGATGGGAAAAACTTGTAAAACAAAAGGATGTGGTGTGATTAAACTGTTCCGCATCTTGAATCTTAATAAAGAATAGGTGAAATTATGTTGGATGGGGCAGGATTTGCCTTGTCATTTACTGGTTGCTGACCACCTCATCTTTCCATGGTGAATAGGTATGCTGTGTCCATGGCAAGAAGAATTGGTGCCAGAGTTTATGCTCTTCCAGAAGATCTTGTGGAGGTGAAGCCAAAGATGGTCATGACCGTGTTTGCCTGCTTGATGGGGAGAGGAATGAAGCGAGTATAAAAGGGATAATCCATGTAAAGGAAAAAAAACCAAAATGCAACAAAAACCCAACCTGCCACCCTGGGTGCATGAGTAGCAGATGGGCTGTGACCACGTTGAAATGCTGTTGGCCTTGGAACTGTTGAAGTTCAAAGGACTTTGTTTTGCTTTGCAAGACAAATTTATCAAAATTCTCAGGGGGAGGAGTTTTAACCAACAAACATGCTCTTTTCCCAAAGGAAAGTTTTAAGTTATCAAGAGCTCACAGAAATGCATTCATAGCAGACCTGCATCTTGCAATATTGCTCTGGAGCTGTTTTCACTCCATTATTTCTCAGATACTTGACGTGTGGTTTTTTACCCTTGAGGGCTATAAGGTGGTTGGTATGAGTTGTAATGGAAACAAATCTAATTTCTATCTGCAGTCCACTTTAATTTCTGTCATACAGTCCAAGCATATTTTAGGTTTGACCACATCCTTAATTTTGCAAATAAAGCTACAGTACAAGTTGGGACCTGCAGGCCAGCTCGCAATGCTAAATGAGAAATGTGTAATTAGGAAGATGTACTTCCTCTGGTATTCTTTGTACATGGTGCTTTTTTGTACATCTAACTATTTTGATTACTTTACAAATAAAGCATGGCAGTTTTTTCTCTTGCTGCTTATAAAAAGGGGTTTTTTTTTTGTTTGTTTGTTTATTAAGGTTTTACTATATATAATAATACCACCATCCTTGGACCTCTTGTAGTAACATATGATCATGTTGCTGATGACGTGGTTACACCTGAGAATGGAAGTGAATGCATTTTTGTATGCATCTTGGTTCAGTTCTGTGCACCTAGAAAATAATTTTTACAAAAATCTGCATGAAAACTATAACTTTTTTATTTAAAATGCTGTTAGATACAAAACCATACTACATTGTGGAGAGGTTTTGTGCAGGGAAGAGGCAAATGGTATAAACAGCAGGGTTCAATAAAGCGAACAGCAAATGTGCTGGAATATAAAATTATTTTTACAGATAAATGGAAGGAAGCATTGTCACCAAAGAAGGAAGATGCTGTATCCATAGGATTTAATATTCTCTTGCTTTGGCAAGCTGTTTGCTATATTTTGAGATCATATTGCTATTCCAAGCTATTCAAAGTGATGTAATATGGTGGCAAAGCATTAGTTGAAATAAAAACATTTAAATACACGCTTCTCTCCTTATTTGCACTGACCCAGCATGGCAGCCTGTCTTCAGTTGCAGCTGGTGCTTCTGGGCTGCAGTGCCACACACAATCTTTCTTCATCTTTAATGGCCTGATGTAAGTCTGATACTCTGTACTGGTCCTTCAGAGCGTGTTGAGGGGTTGGTGCTGCTGGCAGCACAGCAGGGGAAGGTCCCTTAAAAGCAGGAGAAGTTTGTTTGAAGCAGCAGCTTCTGTATTGTTGTGCCTTGGGGGCTTCAGAGATGAACATTTGTATGGGGGCTAATTGAGTGAAAGGGACTGCATTTTTCTGTGTGTAGGAGATGAGAAAAGGACAGGTGAAAAGGAGGAATTTGACAGGGAGCTGAAGGCAGGCTGGGGCACCTGGGAGGAGATGGGCAGGAGCCCTGCCTGCTGCAGGGGTGAGGGCATGGGCTGCGGTGGCACGGCTGGCAGAGCTCCCTGCTCTGCGAGTGGAGTGTCAGCAGAGCACCCCAGTGATCCCCTGCACGAAGCCTTGTGCAGAGCTGCCTGGAAACTTTCCACTGGTACACTTTTTTCACAAGAAAAGTATGTTAACAAAGCTTCCCACAGGAAATTGCATGTTTTCACTCAAGATGGAGCGATATACCGTAAGTAGAGTTACAGCCATCCCACTGAAACCGTGTTCTGGTGATTTATGGCACTGGCAGGGGTTGTGGTGTAATTCAGGTCAAAATTCTTGGACTTTGGAAGTGGCCACGTGCATCTCTCCTGTCTTTCCTCTTTTGCCTCCTTGGTAGCAGGTTGAAGGGGGAGAAATGGGTACTTTGACAATTACAGAATGGGAAAGCATCTCCTTGTGCTGGATGTATTTAAGAAAGAAAAGTTTGGGGTACAAGCAAAGCAGATCTCACACAGAAGGTCCAGTGCAGGGCAATCAGGACAAACCCAGTGCTTTTTCTCCAGTAAACACTTTTAACAAGCAGGTTTTCAAATGGTTTGTTTTGTCAAACACACTTAAAATTTCCAACAGGAGATGTAAACTTTTAGCACATTTCCTTCTTCCTGCAACTCTTTTTGCTCTTTAATATTAAATTATTTCTTAGTATTTATACTTTGTTCTGCTTCTTCAATGACATGCTTTTTGTTTCCCAGGTTTTTTAGCAGTGTCAGCTTTGTTCATATTTGTTATTGATTTCTTTTTTTTAAACAGTTGGACTTGCTGCTTCTCTTGTGGGTGCATGTTGTCCTTATCCTTAATCTTAAGGTTCTCCTTCAAATGTCTTTGCAAGCCCAGACTGCCTCCTCCTCAGGGAGGCACTTTTTCTTGTATACCTTGCAAGTTAAATTTTTTGTGGATTTAAAATGTAGCCACATGTTCTCCCTGAGCATACTGTGTATAACTTGTTAAATATTTCTATGACTTTTTATCACAGCACAGAGGAAGCAATTTACTTGTGCTGCTGTTACTGTTTAATGAGGTGGTGGTGTAAAAGTGGAAGGAATATTTTCTCAAAGCATTCAGAGAAGGCAAGGCTCTTGTCCATATAAATTTTTTGCCAATTTATATTATTGAATGGGGGAAAAATCAAATCTTTTAGGGAAGAAATTGCTGAGGTGGACTTTGCTTGCTTTTTTGCTTCTGCCTTTTTCTATTGCAGCTTGATAGAGAGGAATGCAAAACCAAGAAACCAGCTGGAGTGTTTTTCCACTACTTCTCAAAGTATGTGAAGCTGGTGAAACAGCATAAACAATGTAAGCAAAAATTTATTGTATTGACTGTTAAATACTTTGCTCAAACCTAATCACAAATATAACAGGGATGCAGCAAGTGTGGTTTTGTTGTGAAGCCCCACTTCGTCCCTTCCCTGGTGTAACAGCAAAGGTTGGCCCTGCTCTGCACTCCATGCCAGGTTTCCCATGTCAAATTGTGCTGGTTTGTGTGTTTTCAGCCCTAAGAAAGGGTTTATTTCGCTCTTAGCTCTTATCAGCTTGGGATAATTCCTCAAAGGACAGGGACAAATGTGGTGTGTCTGGAACACATTCCGTTGCTTCCTTCTGCGAGCACCCAGTAAACATTGGATGAGGGTTTTTAATGTACCTGCACAAGTGGAAAATTCCGTTTGGGAGGATGGAGAAGGCTGATCTGTGTCTCCCAGCAGCTGAAGGGAGGCAGACTGGGGGTATGGCACTAGAACTGTGCTGTGACAGAGCTCCTTGAAGGCATGCAGGGAGGCACAGCTTGTACAGACCATCCCTGAGACACTTGACCTCTGCAGGGGTAAATGCAGGGCCATGTTAGCTGAGGTTCAGTGCTGTGAGGAGCAGTTGAGTGATAAAATGTTTTACATTTTACACCTCCAGCACTGTTTTACATCCTAACAGCAGAGATCCCCATGTTCCCGCTGTGGGGAGGTACCACATGTTCACAGCAGTGCTGATGGACTGGGCCTTTTCTAAGGATTCCAGACGTCCTTGCACATGCAATTTATTCCTATTTCAGCAGTACTCACACTATGCCGAGTGTGGGCTGGGCAGAGGAAGGCAGCCCTTCCCAGGGAGGTCACACCTGGCTGTGGTCAGTTGGGAAATGGGGAGGACAGAGGGGAACATGCTCCCCAGCCCCACATCACCAGCACAAGCCCCAGCCCTGAACTTGCCAAGGTGAGCATTTGCATTGAATTTTTATGTTAGCATTTCAGAAGAAAATAATTTATTCCTATATAATAAAATCCCTTTATTTCCATATAAAACCCACCTGTCGTGCAAACCAATGTCCACAAACAAATTTCAAGAAAATAAATAAGTAACCTCCGCTTTATAATTGAAACATCATTAAAACGTGGCCACCACGGTGCCCCAGCCCCTCTCATTGTACCACGTGTGGCAGGCAAGTGCCAGCAGGATGAGCTGGCCGGGCAGAGCGGGGGGCCTGGGAGCCACGCTGGTCCCAGCCACCCCACACTTGTCCTCCCTGGGCAGCTCCAGTGGCACCGTGCAGTCCCCCAGGTCCCCAGGGCGGGGCTCCTCGGGTGCTGTTGTGTTGGGAGGGCCAGGGAAGGCGCAGTCCAGCCCCTGGATGACAGCCCGGCGTGTGGCTGTCCAGTGCCAGAACCAGAGCATGCTGCAGTCACACCTCCAGGGGTTGTGGGACAGGAACACGTACTTGAGCTTGGTCAGCTCGGCCAACGAGCGCGTGGGCAGGGAGCTGAGGTTGTTTCTGCTCAGGTGAAGGAAGTGCAGCTTGTTTAGGTATAAAAAAGCTGAGTCTGAGATGAAGGAGATCTGGTTGTTGTTCAGGTACAGGCTTCTCAAGTTGAGCAGGTGTCTGAAGGTGCAGTCGACAGCCGTGATTCTGTTGGCTTCGAGGTGCATGGTCTTGAGCTGGATCAAGCCTTCAAAAAGCTGATTAGGCAAATCAGTGATGAAGTTGTGTCCTAAATTTAACATGCCCAATCTGAGAAGCTTTGCAAAAGCTCCATTTTGGATGATCCATATCCGATTCCTCCTGAGGTTCAGATCATACAGGGCTTCCAGGTCCTTCAGGGAATCTCTGCCGATGGCTTCTATGTGGTTGCCCTCCAGGGACAGCCTCGTGAGGCTGGAGAGGTTCCTGAAGGCTTGTGGGACATACCGCATGTTATTGGAGGCTAAATCAAGCCTTTCTAAGGAAGGCAAGTGTGAAAAAAGAAGTGGGTGGATTTCGAAGATATTGCAGTGGGACAAATCCAGGCTGATGAGGTTTAATAGTCCTCTGAAAGTGTTTGCATGCAGGTAGGTGAGGCGTGAGTTCCTGCTGAGGTGCAACTCCTGCAGCCTGCTGAGAGCATGGAAAGTTCCTGGGGTCAGGAAAGTCAGATTGTTCCCATCTAGCCAGAGGCTGTGAAGGAAAGTCAGGTTTCTGAAGGTGTTGGTGTTGAGAATCCGCAAATAATTGTTGGAGAGGTTTAGAGAGATGGTGGATGCTGCTATTTCTCCAGGTAGGGTTTTCAGTCCAGCTCTGTTGCAGAGGATGGTCTCTTCAGGTGTACATTTGCACATGCTTGGGCATGAATTGGAGACATTCAGACTCAGCCCAGCCTTTGCTGCACAAGTAAATATAAATATAACAAGAAAGAACATGACCAGCCACACATCAGCCACAGCATCTAATACCTGATGGATAGTAGAGAAGGAGGCAAGAAAAAGAGCATGTACCTTTTGGGCAGGTGAGCTGCAGGCATGGCAGGGTTGGTTGGACTGTGCACAGTGAAAATAAATCAGCTGGTTCTTCCTGCTGCAGCCCCATGGGGATTAAGTGTTCAGGCACGTCAGAGCTGATTAAGCACTGCCCTGAGAGGCAGGGAGGCTTCTCAGCCCAGCATCATGCTCTGATAGTGGTTTTTCTCACCTCCTGCCCTCTGCAAGCAGCAACAGGTAACAGACTTCCTCTGGCAGCTGTCTGGGAGAGGTTCCTGCTCATGGGCTGTCACCTTTCTCAGGGTCTGCTTGGCAGTTGGCTCAAAAAATACTTCTGGAGGAATTTTTCTCATTTTCTCCTGCTAGAGCTTCAGCAAAGGCAGTGGAACTTGGCAGCACCATCCAGGTGAGGGTGCTCGCCCCGGTGTGGCTGCACACAGTGACAGGTGCCCTGGGCTCAGGCTCTGGGAAATGCAGCTGTGACCGAGCCCTGAGCACAGCCTGGGGCTCAGGAATGGGAGTGGAATGGGAGACTGCCAGGAGCTGTGCAAGCCTCTCCTCCTCTGGCAGCTGGGAAAGCACAGGGGAGTGCTGTGTCCTGGCAGTGCCTCTTCTTGGCATAAGCCCTGAGCTGAAACATGGAGCACCCCAAGGGCTCACTGTCCTTCCCAGGGCACTGCCTGTCTCCAGCAGGTCTGAAATGAGCAACTGGAGCTAACTTTAGGGTCCTTAAAAATCTGTGTCCTTGCCCCCGCCCTGTTTTTTATCCTATATCCACAGTGCAAAGAGAAAGCACTTTTGGGGGCCTCTTTGAACTCAACAGCCCAGGATCAGCAATCTCCAGACTGATCCAGGAGGACCAGACCCAGGGCTTGCAGCTGATGTGTCATTAGGGCAGCCAGTGACACAATTGCTGCTCTTGTTTTTTGTCACTCTTAATTTTATTTTTCCACTTCTCTCTGTTGGATTTCTCATGTGTTCTGATGTGCTTGAAGCATCTTTTGTCAGCCCCCTGCCTTCCAGTGCATTTCTTCATTCTTAATTTTTTGGTCTGTCTCAACTTTGTTCTTTTTCATGTTTTACAGTTTGGCCTTTCTTTCTCTCCCCTATTCTGCCAGCTCTCTCCAGACACTGGCTAAACCCCCAAGTATGCCCAACAGTAGGTGTGACCTGGATAAGTTTGCAGCTCAGTTGTGTTCTCAGCAGAAGCAGATTATGTTTCCTGTGCTGTGTAATTGCTATGTTTGCTCCAGCTAGTCCTGTTTTCTTCACTTGTTCAAGCAATAAACCCCTGAAGAACAGCTTCGCCCTGGAAGCTTGGCCAGGATGATCATGTTGTGTAATGGAGACCATCTTCCAGCTGTAAACAACATCATTTATTTAGTTAGACAGGCTTTGGTGCAGTGTTATTGAGGGCCAAAATCTGGTTTCCACCATGAGCAGCAGTGCTGGCACTGTGCCCAGGGGCTGGTCCTGGGAGCCCAGGAAAGTGGAAGTATGCACTGCTCACCCCATCCAGCTGATCGTGTCTGGGGTCACGCCAAAGGTTTTGGTGGGTGAATTTTTTTCCGTATTCCTGGCTCAGCTGGGACTGCGCCTTTGAGGACATCACCCTCTGGGGGTGTCCTGCTGCTGGGATCTCCACAGCTTGTCTTGCCTCCTGATGCAGCACAGCTAGGAATATCCATCACTCTGTGACTTTGTCAGTGCTATCCTGTGAAGGAAACAAGTTTCTGCTGATCCCTGTGCAGGACAAGTGAGCTGCACTGTGTGCTTGGGAATGCTCTTGCCTTTAGCTGAACTGTGTAGCTCAGGCTGAAAAAGATGGATCTCTTGCTCTGGTGTCCCTTTTATTCTACACAGGCTTTATTTCTGGTTGTAATTCTGGTTGTAATTCCAGCAGTGTTACCATGTTCTAGCTCTTAGTTAATCTCAGTGCTCTCTGTAGCTCTCCTTGGTTTCATACTGGAAGTTTTCAGACCAAAAGCATGCAGCTCTTGGAGCTCATTGCTGCCAAATGTTGCAACTGGACTAAAACACTGTGGTGGAACAGGACCACACAGCTGCAGAGTGTTTCCTTGCTTTAAAGCCTATAGGGCCAAGGAAACCCGTAAGTATCAAAGTGACCAGATTTTCACACTTTGTCAGAGGTTTGGCAATTCCAGTTTCTCCCTGTAAAGATTCCACAAAGCACAGAGATGGGGTGGCAGCTGCCTTGCCAGGTTCTTGGCTGTGGCTGCCTGAACTTACTGATGGCAGTCCTGGTTTCAGCTGCCCTTGGGGTGGGAGCAATGCAGGTATGCCAACAGCAGCATTGTGGAGAGCTAAACCTTTGCTGGGGGCTGAGTGCTGGTCCAAGAGAGTGGCCACAGGAGTGTCCTGTGTGTGCTGCAGTGCCCAGTGCTCCTGTGCAAGAAGTGCTGAGCATTGCCTGTCCAGCCCCTGAGCATCTCTGCTGCAGTCATTGCCACACCAAGTGCTGCAGAGACAAGGTAAGGACATGCTCCTTGAGAACTGACACAGGAGCTTTTCCTCTTTTTAACAAACTTTCCCTTTATGATCTGTTCAAATGTTAGCATCCTGCTCTTGGGTTCTCTTCTCCAGGCTCAACTCCTTGTGCTCCACGTGCAGGGATTTTGATTGCCTCGCTCCATCTGCTTGGAGGGTTTCTGGAATGCATCCTGTGTTTTGGCTGAGGTGGCTCATCCACCCAGCTTTAATGGAAAAGCTGAACCACTGCAAGTCTCCTGTTAAAATGTGTTCCACCCACCACATGACCACAGTTGTGTTTTTGTCTTTTTTTCAGTCACTGATTTATCTGACATCTGGGATTTATAGCCCTGCACATCCCCTTCAGAAATGGTTTGTAGCTGATGTCAAGAGCCTTGCCTAATACTGTAAATTTTAAGGAGATGAATTCTCTTTAGAAGATCGAGGCAGCATCTATTTTGGGATGGTCCTGCTGGTCTAATAAGTTAAAAGAGCAAGGTTTGCTTTCTTTAAACTTTTTGTTGGGAAAAGATGGAATGAGTAGAATCACTTAATAGCTTCATTTGTTAAAAGATTGATTAAATAAGGTGGAGTATGCAAATGTCAGGAATAATCTGACACACCCAAAGCTTTATCTAGCTGGTGAACTCTCATGTGTATCAGTATTCTAAGAGAAATTTCTAGTAAAAACACTTAAAAAGTGGGAAAGCTGTTTGTAGTGGTTATAGTTCAAAATAACAAAGGGAGGAAGATTTTTATTTTTAAAAGATCTCTGGAAAGAGACCCTTTGGGTGCTCTGTAACTCTATAAAACTTTCCAGAGTCCTAACTCTTCCTAAATATCACCTTGAGACCCTAAAAAGAAATGTGAAACATTCTCCCACATGCTTTAAATGCCAGGCTATATACAACTGTATTAGTACAAATAAAGCAGAAGTTAGACAGGAGGGAACTCTCTCCCACAAGCAAAGGGCATCAGTGTCTTGACTTCTGCCACTCATCACAGCAACTGGTTTGAGAGCAGTGAGCAGGAGAAAATTACCTGTGATGATAAATTATGAAAGCTGACTGTGGGTTCCTGTTGTGATCTCAGCTGCTGAGATGCTGTGCTTGCCATGGACACTGCTATGGCCATTAAGGGTCAGTGCCTGTTTTTGGCAAGGCCTGGAGTCTGGTGGTTTATCTGTGTTGGGGGCATGGCTGGGAGCTGTGCAGCACTCAGGAATGGAGTTTTGACCAAGTCCTGCTGCCTTCAGGGAGAGCAGGCATGCCCCAAGAACAGGCAGGGGTGCCAAGGTGTGCGTGCCCTCCCTGCCTTTAACAGCAACGGGTGCAGCTTGTTTTCCAAATCGATGTGCTTGTTTTCTTTACTATTTTTGGTAGCTTGTAAAACGCTTACAGCCAATAATTTGAACAAACAATGTCATGGAGGATAACCTCAATCTTGGCAGTGCTATTGGCTGGACACAAACATCTCTCATAAAATAAATGCTTTGGATAAGTTTTCTGCATGCTGGGGGTGGAAGTGGCATCCTTCCCTTTCCCTTTCCCTCCCAAATGCCTCTGTCAGTTACTGAACTGCTCCAAAACTGACCTCTTCTGGCACAGAAGGTCTGTTCAATGGGACAAGATACGCTCAGAGTGTCTGATGGGCCCTGTCTGGGTGGCCCTTGTGTTCACTGCTGTGCTGCTGTGAAGTGAAAAAGCAGCACTTTCCCCAGGTCTGCTCAGTTCTTGCACGTGAAATCATGGCTCCAGCAGGGAGAGTGGAACACTGACCAAGGTCTTGCCTTTGAGAATGCTGGCAATTCTCCCTCTTGGCTGTAACACTGGTTTTGCAGATACCCACTGCCAGAACTGATCATGCTTCAGAGGTTCAGAGACAGTGCTAAGACCCAGAACTGACCCAGCAAGAACCATGGATGCTGGATGGGAATAGGACTCACTGCCTTGGCCTTCAGCCTTCAAGGTCACTGCTCACAACTGCTCCCTTCCCTGAGTGCCCAGAAAGAAGCAATAATCAGCTTTCTCTGAAGGAGTGCTCTGGGGCTGGGGAAGGGTGAAGTAGATTTTCCAATCTTGCTTGCAGGACTGAGCAATGAATCCCTGAAGAAACCCTTAAACAAACAAATGCAGGAAGGAGGAATGCTTAGAAAAGTTTATGGAATGCTGGGGGAACCCAGCTGCAGGCAGGATGGTTTTGGAAAGTGTGTGCAGAAGGCCTGTTGTTTGGCACAGCACACCCCAGCATCACAGAATATTCTGAGTTGGAAGGGAACCACAAGGATCATCAAGCCCAGCTCTTCCAGCCCATTCAGGGATCAAACCTGCAATCCTGGCATTATTAGCACTGTGCTCCATCCAACCAAGCTAGTGCCAGGGTTTGGCATGATGAAAATCATCATTGCCCTGGCATAACGTGCTGGATCCCCAGCTCCTGCTGCCAGCCCTGGGACCAGGGAGTCAGGGATCCTGCTGTAAATCAACACCAAACACAGCCACAGTGACCTATGTTGCATTATGCATCCTGGTGAGCACATTTATAAAAGATATTTTTTTCCCCTCTTGCTTTCTCCAAAAGGAACAAATCAAGCTCATGAATACAGTTTGCATCTGGATCTCACATTACTTTGAGCCTTTGGCAGGCTGGCGAGGTTCAGCCTCAAGAGATGGCTCTGACACCCTGCTGGCACAGTCAGACAGGCTGCTTGTCTGGAATATTCTACCCCTGACAGCAGCAGCACTTCCCTGCAAAATCCAAGACCTAGGACTTGGACTGCATGGATCCTTTGAATTTGTACAGTTGGTCAGAAGTTTCTATTTGAATTGTGTGTGGTGGTGGTTTGGGGTTTTTTGGGTTTGGTTTTGGATTTTTTTTAACATTTCTGGTGACCTTTTGACCTCTTCAGGTGCACAGGCTTGAAGATAGAAAGACAAACCTAAGGGCTGTATGTGAGCCTGCAGCAAATTTCTTGCTCCTCTTGTACTGTGGTTATTTTTTAGTTGGTGTAAAAGACATACTTAAAATCCCTCCCAAAATCCAACCCCCAGAAACTTCAAGCTTCTACTAATTTAAAATCAAACAGGTCTTGCGTTGAAAACTTGCAGCTTTTGTAACTTTGCAGCCAGATGAGCAGTGAAAAAGCTCTGCCCTGTGCTGAGCTGGATTCTGGGCTGCTGGTCTCTGCTGCAGCAGATCCAAGTGCTGGATTGTCCTAGTTTAGGGCAAATTTGGGAGAAAAACTGCAAATGGGGGTTCCCCCATGAAAAACAAAATTCAAATGACCCCTCCCCACAACTGGTCCAGGAAAAAAAAAAATTCTTTGGAGAGAAGTGGAAAAAGCTGATTATTTAACAGAAATTGAATAATGTTAAACAATAAAACCTCTCACTGTTCAATGGGATGGCAAATCCAGGAAGAAAAGTCCTTTTCATGGGGTGTAGCTCGGCTCACTCAGGTTCTTATCAGTCCCTCTGGTGCTGGAAAGTGCCGAGGCCCAGGCCCCGGTGGGCCACAGGCCTGAGCTCCCGGGGTTTGGCTGGGTGTTCAGGCCAGAGCAGGTTTGAACAGTTCCAGGAAAAAAGGTCCAGGGAACTCCTCTGCCTCAGCTAGCTAAAACTAACTAAAAGCCAAAGAGAAGCTCTGTCCCGCTGTCTGTCCGTGCTGCAGACACCACAGTTCAGGAGCAGGATGTGTGAGAGTGATGTTTTCCTTTCAACACAAACTGCAGCTTCTTCTTCCCCCCATTTCACTCTCAGAGCCAGTTTTAAAGGTGCAGAACTTAATAAGTAACATAAACCATTCAACTGGGGATACCAGTATCATAAAGTCACCCCAGGACATGGATTCACCAGCCTGGCTGTGGAAAACACTTCCCACAAGCTCAGAGGACATTAGCTCAACTGCAGCACTGCATGGCACAAGGTTGTTTTGTGCATGGACCACTTGGGCATCTGTTTCACAGCCATACAAGATGCTCAGAAATAGAGGAAGAAAGAAATGGTGGGGAAATGGAAGAGAGAGGGATTTCTACATTAGTGAGAGGAAGCTTTGCAGTGATCAGGTAAGGAATCAGATGCACTGGGCACTGGCAGGGGAAAGAATGGGAGCAGGATTTGCCAAAGGGCAGCCTATGACCCCCATTGCACTGGGTGCGTTTCTTGTCTTCTAAAGCTCAGCTTTGTAGGCAAAACAGAATAAACACAGTTAGAATCTGTAAGGAGTAAGTGTTGTGTGGAAAGGGAAACTTTATATTTAAGTGTAAACAACAAGTGTTTGTTATTTTTGAAAAATAATCATTCTTGTGCATTTTTTTCCTTCCCTGGGTATCTGCTAAGGAATGGAGGAAAACCTTTTACTGGTTGTTTGCGTGTGACTAGCAGCAAGGACTCCTGGCTGAGGGTGTCCTGCACATCTTGTCCCCAAAAACATTAATAAATCTGGTTCAGAGTGAGTGCTGACATCTCAGGTCACTCACCAGTGGGCCAGCAGTCCTGCAGAGCCCAGGCAGGGTGTGTACAGGGGAAATTGGTGGCAAAAGGCGCAGCTCTTCTCCTTTGCAGGAGGAATAATGACTGTCTCTCTTCCAGTATTTGATCCAAGCACAGGCACTGTGTGCTTGCAACCTGACGGTTCTGACCATCGACTGCTTTGTCATCATGTCCTTGAAGCAGTAAATCGCTGCACTGTGGTAAATAGAAATGCTGTGTGGAATTCCCTTTCTTTAAATAACCCAGTCTCCTTTTAGCACAGAAAATGCTAAGAACTGGACTTTGAATTGTGAGGCAGATAAAGACAAAAACTGCCAAGGACTCTTCTCTCTGCCTTGAATGTAGCACTCACTTCCAGGGGATGGATGTATGAGTTTGCTGATAAGATTTTCAACACTCTCTGAAGCTTTTTCTGGTAAAAGATGTAACTGGGCCATGGTGAAACAGGTGAGACTGTTCTCCACAGCCCACTCAGCCCTTGGCTCCCCTGCAGATGCTGTTAATAGGCTGTTTTCCCTGTTCCATCTCTCCTCTGGGTCACTCTGGTGCTGTCTCTGGTGCTCTGCACAGTCCTGGAGTGAGCGCAGGCACTGGGCATTCCCCAAGCCCCCACAGGTGGATACACCTCGCTCCAAGGCTGTGCTGGTGTTCAAAGGATGGGATGTGCTTGGGTCCAGGGCTGGCTAGTGACTGAGAGCCAGCAGCAGCAGCTGCCTGGGGCACAGGGACACATCACTGGCAGGGACTCCAGTGTTTGTCTGGCACACCAAGCTGGGGAGTGCAGCACAGGTGCCCACAGCAGATGGGCAGTTGTTGCAGAGATCACGCTCAGGCACCAGGGCAAAATGTTTAAGCCTATGGGTGCTTCCTTTGCCCCGTCCTTATCCTCCAGGAGCCCCTTGGAGCTCCTTCCAGGGATTGGAGGCCGGGGCCAGGCCCAGCACGTGATGCAAGGAAGGAGCAGATGTAAAAACTCTGTGTTGTGTGAATGGGAGTTGGCACAAGCTCTTTTTGGTCATGTCCTACCCCAGTGCAGCCTCAGAACCAAGCCTGCTCTCAGCCACGTGGATTTGTCCTGCTGCCCTCCTCAGCCCCAGCAGTGTGCATGTCTTTGCAAGGAATAGGGCAGTGGCTTTCCCATTTGAACTGGGAGGTGGGACCAGCCCCCTTACACAGGCAATGCTGTTGTGAATGCAGTGATGTTCCTCCACTTTCTGTTCACATTATAGTCAGTCCTGCCAGGACTAATAGCCTATTTTATTGTCAAATGTATTAGCCAGTGCTAGGGCTCCATGGACTGCATGGGAATCCCTCAGGATGCACAGATCATTTCGTGGAGGCTCCCACATGTTGTGTGTGCACGTGGAGGGCAGAAAGGGGCTGTGTGTGGGTGTATTCTCCTGGCCCAAGAGCTGCAGCAGAAAACCACAGGGATATTTTTGTGAATTTCCTTTTTCTTGCTTGCTTCATTTCAGTTGTTTTTTTTCTTCTTTTTTTTCTTTTTTTTTTTTTTCTGGCTGTCTTGTTGCTCTCTCCTGATTTACTGCATGTGCTCACGTGGCCTTGGAAAGGGGGGTTCTCAAAGCGTTTTGCTTCCAAAAGGAAAAGAAGCTGGCAGGCACTCATATTTCAGTTCTTGAGTTATGTAGGTTAAAGTCTCCCAGCGGGAAAAGGGAAGATATGAGAGAACAGATTGCTGGTGGCGATACTCACCAGATGGAAAACGGAAAAAAGGAGCACGGAATTCTAGAGCCACATCCAGACGAATGTGAGGTTTGAGAGGTAGGTTTTCTCTCTGCTGTTGGAATA